AAATTTTCCCTCTTTGATTGCAGCCTCTGTGATACGGAATGGTAGGGAGTTAAAAGCAAACAAATGACGCACTCCTTGAAATTCTGTCAGGGGTAATAAGTGAATCGAACCAAATTCACTCCTCAGCTGTCACCGCCTTCCTTCCCTCTTTTATCTCTTCAAGCCTTTGACAGCAGCTTCTCTCCTTCACTGAGCACTTCTGGAGTACTGAGTCCCCTGTTAGAGGGGCTGAGGGGAGAGGCAGACAGAGGAAGGAATCAGTGCAAAAGGCTCCTCTCACAGTAGTGGGACGTTGTCCTAGAGCTTTGCTCTAGAATGATCAGATTTGAAGCTGGAGGTGGGAACAGTGCTTGTGTTCTTTCCTACTGTGGGGTTCTTTTTCTGGTCCATGGCGACTAGAAGTTCACAGGACAAGGATCAGTGGGGTCCCGGGTAAAAACATCAGCAAACCCTAGTCTCTAGAAGTGTGGGGACTGTGAGGCTCTGGAGCAATTGTTTCTGGGACCCTAAAGCTTGGACAGGAAGCTCTGCATGCGTTAGCCCTTGCTTAGTATCTTTAAAACATACACTGTGGCCTTTTTGCAAGGTGCCAAATCTGACGGAGCCTTTGACTACAGATATTGTGAGATGATTTTCCAGGGGTGCCCCCTGAAAGAATCGCACTCAATGCCTGAGCTACTAAAAGAGCGAGTGAGAGCGATGGGCCTGACTTATGTCCAGGCTTAGCATGGCCCCTGAAAACGGATTCTTAAAATCAATGTGTTTTCTTGTGACTTCTTTATAAAAAGTTGAGAGCTGGGGAGAGGGGAGGGGAGGGGACACTCCAGATAATTAATGATTCTTGTTGGATGGGTCCTGATTAATGAGCTTGAGCCACGGAGTGATTTATTTTCTCTGTCTCTTCCTCTTTGAATCAATAAAGAGATGTGAGAGTCTGGTTTGAGGATCTGCTGAGAGCCTACGTTCTTATCTCAAATGTAATCAGTTTCCCAGAGATTTGCCCTCTTTCTCTCTGTTGAGCTCAACCTGGCAACCACGTATTTTCCGACTGCCCTGTGTCCCAACTCGGTAGGTGTTACTGAGCAGCAAAGATGGACGGGACACGGTCTCTGCCCACATCTGGCAGGAAGGGTGGAAAGGTAGTGCTAACGTCCATGTTACCTACAGTCTCTGTGTCATGTGCAGCTCAGGATGCAGTTGGGAAATCCGGGGTGACTTCATGGAGGGACTGACCTAGGAATTGAGCCTTGCCGGGTGACCCCAGGTAGAGGTACTCAGGCAGACAGAGATGGGGAAATGTGAGGTTGAGTTTTCCCGAAGGTGATTGTAATTATTACTACTGAGCATTTGATATGGTAGGCCTCTTAGCTCCTTCAGTCCTTCTAATAGACTGGCCAATCTTTTCTGCAAAGAGCTAGATCGTAAATACTTGAACCTTTGTGGTCCCAAAGCTCTCTCTCACAGCCACTGAGCTGTGCCACCATGACACGAGAGCAGCTAAAGATGACAAGTGAGTGTGGCCATGTTCCAGTAGAGCTTTGGTTACAAAAACGTATGGTCACCTGGGTTTGGCCTGGGTCATGGACTACCAGGCTGTTTTATAAGACATTTGATATAATCCCCATTTTAAGGAAGGTAAAACTGAGATACAGAAAGGCTCATAGAAATTCACTTGCCCAGAACCGAGGGCCTGCTTGACTTGGTCATTTCTAAAGCCCATCCTTTTAACTTCCACATGCACTGCCTCCCCCAGAAGCGTTGGACACGATCTGGGGAAGAGTGGGTGGATATTACTGCCTTGAAGAGCAGTGTGAAAAGTCTGAATTTAATTCAATGGGAAGCATGGTGCCGTTGATGATTTTTTGAACAGGTGATAGGATTAGAGCCGTGCTCCAGGAAGGTTAAGCATGGTGGCAGCTTCTGTGTCCTTTTATATATATGAGCTCATTTCATCTTCCTAACAGCCCCATGTTGTAGGTCGTATTCTCCCCATCTTATAAACAAGGACACCAGGTCAAAGGGTGCAGAGGTAATTGGCATCATGGAGGCTATGATTTAAAGCAAGCTTGTTGATTCAAGACGTCCCCTCTTTACCATCCCACTCCACTGCCCCCGCTTCCCAAGCCCCAGGGTGGGTCAGGCCAGGAACTTCAGTGAGTCTTCACGACCACCTTCTGAAGCAGGCCTTACTGCGCCCATTTGACAGCTGAATAAATGGAACCTCACAGAAGTTGAGTAACTTGCCCAAGGGCATGCAGACAACAAGGGATAGAACTAGGTTTGGGGTTTTTATGTATTTTTAAAATCTTTCAGTGAGAACATAACTAAATAGAAGAAGGAGCCTAGAATCCTGAGGTGGGTATCACGGAGGAGATAAATGATTTGAATAACTTTTGTGTTTGTATTCACAGAAGCAACATGGTAGAAATGTCCAAGGGTTTCCGGAGCCCAGATGGGTTCAAATCCTGGCTGTGCCACTTACTTATGGCCTTGGGCAAGTTACTGCTTTACCTCTCTACATTTCAAATTTCTGCTCTGAAAAAAAGAAATAATAATATCTATTTCATAAGGTGAGGAGTAAATGAACTAATGTGTGCAAAATGTTTATACCAACGGATAAACATCTATAGGCATGTAGTAGGCACCGAATAGTGGCTGTTAAGTTCCTACTCTGCATTAGGCCTTTTTACCAAATTTTTTTTTTTTAAAGATTTTATTTATTTGGGGAAGGAGTAGACGGAGAGGGACAAGCAGCCTAAGCAGGAACCTGAGATCCCACGACCCTGAGATCATGACCTGAGCCGAATCACATCAGGCACTCAACTCACTAAGCCACCCAGGTGCCCCCCACTTTATATTTTTCTTTCCAAATGTCCGATCACTCAGTCCTCATAACAGCTGACAAGTAGATGGTATTGATCCAGTGTCACAGATAAGAACTAGCCTCAGTGCAGTTAAATAGCTTGCCTGAAATCCTACAGCCATTCGCCCACAAACACACATCAAGAACTAACGTGCTGGGGCACCTGGGTGGCTCAGTTGTTGGGCGTTAGCCTTTGGCTCAGGTCATGATCCCAGGATCCTGGGATCGAGCCCCGCATCGGGTTCCAACCCCGCTTCACGCACCCTGCTGTGGAAAGGCTGCTTCTCTATCTTCCACTCCCTCTGCTTGTATTCCCTCTCTCACTGTGTCTCTCTCTGTCAAATAATAAATTTAAAAAAAAAAAAAAAAAAAAAAAAAAAAAAAAGAACTAACGTGCTAATGCTGCAGGTACCTTGGAAACATCAAAGAACAACACAGCTCCAAATCCCTGCCCTGTGAAAACTCCAGAACTGGGACTTGAACCCAGGTCTGCCTTTTTTTTTTTCTTTTAATGTTTTTTTTTCCCCTCCCTTAACAATTTAATTTCGTGATCACTGGCGTTTAGGGTTGGCCATTTGATGATCGTGCCTCACTTCCGTAGCTTTCTCAGTGCTTACAAAACTGAGACTGATTGTGCTTGGGAGTCCTAGGGAGGCATGTAACATGGATTTAAGGATGAGACACCTTGGACCCTGGTGTGGAGTAGCCCCATCCTGCAATGGCCTCTTCAGCCGTGCAAGGGCAGACCAAGACTCAAGTTCGGGGCTGGGAGGAGACCGGGGTGTCTGTTCTCCGCTCGGGACGAAGCAGGAAGTGCAGCTCTGTCTTGCCCCACCTTGGGAGGAGGCTCTCCCCATCCCAGGTGACATAGCCAGAACTGAAGCCTCCCAGAAGGCTCCTAGGTGCTGGCCTGCTGTACGCATTCTGTGAGCCTCGAGGGGTGGTGCCCCATTGTGTGAGGTTATTCTGGGCTCGTTTGAAGAGCAAAGTGGAGGAGAGAGCGGGGATGAGGGTAGGACTCCCACCGCTCTAGGAGTCACACACAAGATCTCAGAGCAGGCCTGCTGGAAATACAACCACCCCCTCCCTGATTTGTGGGATGTACCGTATGACTTAGTATATGAACTTGTTGCTGCTAATACATGGGCCAGTCAAGGTGGGGTATACTCTTCGAGCCATCACTGTAGGGGGGAGAAAGGTGCTGTTATACAGGGCCTACATGTCGCTCCACAGACAAGCTGGAGGGAGGAGGAATCTGTCCTGGAAACTATAACTCAAAATTGATGCGGTTTCCAATTTTGTTTGTTATTTGGCTTATTTCAGTGAGGGAGAAAGTTTTCAGGTGCGTTTTCTCGTGCTTCTAAGAGAAAAGATGCTCTTGTGGGGACAGATTGGGGGTGGGGGCAGGCAGGGTTGATTTCCTGATCCCATGGGTGCCCCAGCCTCTCCCTTTCAGGCTGCTGCGCACACACCGGTGCTGTGTTTAAATATGTTGGAATTTGCTGGGTTTTTAAAATTATTACTAGTCACAGAATCCCAACAGTGGAAATGAGGCTTTTAACTTAAACCGATTACATTTGAGCTGATTGCAAGGTCGTCAATAACACCACTCACACGCGAGTAATTGAAGGGCTCTGTGTTTGCGTACTTGGCTTCTTTACAGGGGACCCAGGCTCCTGAGAGCTTCGCTAACTCAATAGCCCTCCTCACCCTGAAATGGCCCATTAAAAGATGCCTGTTGGGTGGTAACCTCCCCATACGTTTTCTCAATAAAGAGAAAAAGATGGGAAGGGGGGGTGGCGGTGGAGTGGGGGGAGACTTCTCTTGCATTTCGAGCCACCGCCTCTCAAAGCCGTCTGGAGCAGACTGTTTAGTTCTGTGTCCCCGTCCCATTCAGGCCTTTGCATGCTTTGAAGCTTTCTTTAGCTTTTCCCTGCGCCTCGATGGCAGATCTCTCAATAGGCAAAAGCCCAGCTGAAAGGCCCCTCCGCACACGGCTCTGCATGTTAATGGCCCTGGCTGGCCTGGGACAGCGCGCTGGCGGGACAGGGGCTGCTGCGCAGGCCCCAGCAGCTGCCTCCGGCTCGGGGATGGGGTCTGAGTAGGTGGCTCAAGTTGCCTGTTTGCTTTCTTGCAGATCTATACGGACTGGGCCAATCACTACTTAGCCAAATCGGGCCACAAACGTCTCATCAAGGACCTCCAGCAAGATGTGACGGACGGCGTCCTCCTGGCTCAGATCATCCAGGTTGTGGGTAAGAGCGGGTTTTACATTGGGGACCAAGGACTTACAGTGGAGACCTGGAAGGGGACAAGCCGGACAAGGGGCATGGCACACTGAAATCTCCCAGAAGAATACAGTGTTTGTCGCATGTGTTGACAGTTTACTTGATGTCTCATGCTTGGGGAAGCGTGGATATGAGCTTGCTTTTCCTCTTGATGCTCTGAGAAGTAGGGCTGGAGGGGGTGCTGGTGGTCTGAGAAGGGCTCTCTGCCCCTTTCTTGTCCCGTCTTTTTGGTTCTCCCTTCTCCACCCGCCCCCCCGCCCCCACACACCTCTGATGGTAATTTCATTGTGGATTACTTTGGAAATATTTAACAAAAACAAACAAAAAGTACCACAAGACTGATTTAGTCCTGCCAACTCTAATTGGGCTAAGAAGGCAAAGAATCAAACTCTGTAGAGGGCTGGTTCTGGTTTTACTACTGGGAGAAGGGAGCTGGGGCTGCGCATCAGGAAGAACGGGTTCATCCCGGGAAGGCAGGTGGGCACAGCTCTGCCTTGAGCCTTGAAGCTTATGGGGAGTGCTCCCTGCAGCCCTGCCTGAGAGCTCCCACTGAGAGGCAGGTCAGTTAGATGCCGTCAGGCTGACTGTTGTCGCTGGCGGCTTCTGTGGCTGCCTCATGCCAAGGGAAAAGGCATAAGGACAGAAGCCCCAGCCCACTGGGTGTGCGTTGCTGTGGGAGAGTTGCTTATCTTTCAAGTCTGAGCAGAATGACCTTTTATATAAAGTTGTAATTCTGCTCACCTCCGTGGAGATTGTACCTAAAAACTCAGGCAAGCTGGCCTTAGCTGGACACTTCTGGACTGGTGCCACCACTCAGATCCAAGTGCCCCTGCCATCCTAAGATTGATTTCTTTTTTTCTTTTTTAAAGATTATTTATTTATTTATTTATTTATCTGACAGACAGAGATCACAAGTAAGCAGAGAGGCAGGCAGAGAGAAAGGAGGAAGCAGGCTCCCTGCTGAGCAGAGAGCCCAATGCGGGGCTTGATCCCAGGACCCTGAGATCATGACCTGAGCCAAAGGCAGAGGCTTTAACCCACTGAGCCACCCAGGCGCCCCCTAAGATTGGTTTCTTAAGACTGGCTTGTGCTTGTTCCCCTTCTCCCTCCCTGCCCTGTGTTCGTCATTTGTGGCTGTGTAGCACATGGCCGTGCGTGTGTGTTAGCTCATGGTTTCTGGGTGTCGGAAGTGCAGGCATGGCATAGCTGGTGCCTCCTCAAGGCTGCGGTCAGGGTATTGGCTGGGGCTGAGTCCTTATGTGGAGGCTTGACCAGGGAAGGAGCCCGGTTCCCTCAGTGTTGGCAGATTCATCTCCTTGCAGTCAGAGGAGGTGAGTCCTGATTTCTCGCTGACTCTTGGCTGGAGGGCTTCGCTCTTAGAAGCCCCTCTCAGCTCCTTGCCATGTGGGTCTCCCAGTGTGTTGCTTGGATTGATTTCTTCAGTGCCACCAAGGACCATGTTTCTAGAGCCAATTGGCTCGCCATTTGTCATCTTCTATAATGTGATGTGCTTGTGGGAGTGACATCCCACCACCTTTGCCTTATGTGGTTGGTTAGAAGCAAAGCCTAGGTTCTGTCACACCCCACTGGAGGGGATTACACAAGGGTTTGAAGTTAAGCAGGAAGATCATTGGGGGTGACCTAGAAGTCTGTCTGCTATACTTCTTCCCTTTTATCCTCTTCCTCCTCCCACTTTTGTTCTCAAACTTTTTTGAGTGTGGTTGGTGTCCAATGTTACATTAGTTTCAGGTGTGCGACACAGCGATTTTATCCATTGTGCTCTGTTCACCACAAAGGTAGCCTCCGTCGGTCCCCATGCAACACTCTTACAGTATCCGTGACCAAACTCCCTATGCTGTGCCTTTTCTCCCTGTGCCTGAGTCTTTGTGTACCTGGAAGCCTGTATCTCCCACTCCCCTTCACCCATTTTGCCTACTCCACCACCCCCTTCCTTCCCCCCATGTCGTCATCTCGGACGGGAACCGATTTCTCTTCCTCCCGCTCTTCATCACTCCTGCCAATCCTTTACAAATTTCTCTCCATTTCCTCTACTTCTCTGTGATACTTGCCCTCTTTTACACCTGCAGACACTGAAGCTCCATGAGTCTCAGAAGCTCCGTATCACACAGCTAGCCTGGAGAGAATTCTGGTTTGGGTTAGTTTGCTCCTAACGCCTCTGTTTGTTGCCCTGCTGTGTTATACTCTCCTGTCAATCCCGACACATGGAACCCGGTACAAGGATCTGGCCTCCTTCGCTTCAGTTCATTATGATTCGTTGAGCGCCGACTGTATGCTAGCATTGTGCTCCAATAGATCAACTTGAATTATGGAACATTCTATTTAAAAATAAAACCAAGGGGCGCCTGGGTGGCTCAGTGGGTTAAGCCTCTGCCTTCGGCTCGGGTCATGATCCCAGAGTCCTGGGATGGAGCCCCGCGTCTGGCTCTCTGCTCAGCTGGGAGTCTGCTTCCCCCACCCCCTTCTGCCTGCCTCTCTTCCTACTTGTGATTTCTGTCAAATAAATAAATAAAATCTTAAAAACAAAACCAAAAAATTGGCCTGTATTGTTCAAAAATGTCAGCTCTATGGAAGACCAAGCCTGAGAAATTGTTCCAGAATAAAGGAGATTAAAGTGATGTGACAACTAAAGGTACAGCAAGATCCTGGACTGGATCCTGTATGGGAAATAAAATGCCATAAAGGACATTTTTTAGTATATTGCCAAAAATTGGGATTATATCAATGTCAAGTTTTTTTAATTTTATAATTGTACCGTGAGATAATCTCCTTATTCTTTGTAAATGCGTATGAAATCTAAGGGCAAAGGACATGATCTACATATTCTACACTGAAAGGATTCAGAAAAAAAAAAAATCCATATACCTGTACAGAGACAAAGGGGAGAAAATGAGAAAGAATGGTGTGTGGGAATTCTCTGTACGATTCCTGTGACTTTTCTGTCCATTTGAAGTTCGTTCTTTCTTCCTTTTTTTTTTCCTTCCTTCCTTCCTTCTTTCCTCCCTCTTTCTTTGTTTCTTTCTTCCTTTCTGATTTTACTTACTTACTCTTAGTGTGAGCAGGGAGAGAGGCAGAGGGACCGATAGGATCTCAAGCAGTCTCCATGCCTAGCGTGAAGCCTGACGCAGGGCTCAATCTTATGACCCTGTGATTATGACCCCAGCCAAAATCAAGAGTCGGATGCCCAACTGACTGAGCCAGGTGTCCCCTCTTTAAGTGACTTCAAAGTAGTTAGAGAAAAGAACACCTTTAAATGAAGGTCCATTGAAACTTGTAGTCAGGGAGATTGTCCCTTTGGGGAACAATACCTTTCATGGCCTCGGAGAGTATAGTACATAACAGACCAGTGGTGCTGTGAGACATGACCCATGATGGGGGTAGGGGGTAGATTCAAGCAAGGGTTCCTTGAGGAATTTACCTGTAAGCCAAGACCTCAAACTTGGAGTTGTCTAGGTGAAGCAGTCAGGAGGACATTCCTGGCAGAGGATATAGTGTGCAGAGACGTTTGGAGGGTAGAGAGCGAGAGGGTCAACAAGGCAAAATAAGGTGGGACTACCAGGTATGGGGCAATGAATTCTGGGCTTTTGCCTAAGCACAAAAGCTAGGGGCTGAAGAGTTGATTTTTCACATTGGGGAGGGCCATGATCAGAAGGGTGGCTTGAAGGAAAGCCTTAAGTGTTGTTTTTTTTTTTTTAAATGAACATATAATGTATTATTTGTTTCAGGGTTACAGATCTGTGAATCATCAGGCTTACATAATTTACAGCACTCACCATAGCACATACCCTCCCTAATGTCTATCGCCTAGCCACCCTATCCCTCCAGCCCCCTCCACTCCAGCAGCCCTTAGTTTGTTTCCCGAGATTAAGAGTCTCTTATGGTTTATCTCACTCCCTGGTCCCATTTTGTTTCATTTTTCCCTCCCTTTCCCTATGATCCCCCGACCCTGCCTCTCAAATTCCTCATATCAGTAAGATCATATGATAATTGTCTTTCTCTGATTGACTTATTTTGCTTAGTGTAATATCCTCCAGTTCCATCCACATCATCACAAATGGCAAGAATACGGTATTTTTGATCGCTGCATAGTATTCGTGTGTGTGTGTGTGTGTGTGTGTGTGTGTGTTTATCCATTCATCTGTTGATGGACATCTAGGCTCTTTCCATGGTTTGGCTATTAGGGAATTTCTGCTATAAACATTTGGGTGCACATGTCCCTTCAGATCACTACATTTGTATCTTTAGGGTAAATACTCAGTAGTGCAATTGCTGGGTCATAGGGTAGCTCTATTTTCAACTTTTTGAGGAACTGTCATACTGTTTTCCAGAGTGGCTACACCAGCTTGCATTCCCACCAACAGTGTAGGAGGGTTCCCCTTTCTCCACCTCCTCACCAACACCTGTCGTTTCCTGACTGGTTAATTTTAGCCTTTCTGACTGGTGTGAGGTGGTATCTCACTGTGGTTTTGATTTGTATATCCCTGATGTTGAGCATTTTTTTCATGTGTCTGTTGACCATTTGTATGTCTTCTTTGGAGAAATGTCTGTTCATATCTTCTGCCCATTTCTTGATTGGATTATTTGTTCTTTGGGTGTTGAGTTTGATAAGTTCTTTATAGATTTTGGATACTAGCCCTTTATCTGATATGTCGTTTGCAAATATCTTCTCCCATTCTGTCGGTTGGTTGTCTTTTGGTTTTGTTGACTGGGAAAACCTTAAGTGTTATGCATAGACACTAGCTCCAGAGTCTTCACCTATCCCAGAGAGATCAATTCTGGAGACTATGTGTCTGTCCCAGGAGTTGCGCTTCTCAGATAGTGGGATGATTTGGGGCCCACACTTTTCTACCATTGCCTTCTGCCTGTTGGGCAGAAATGAACCTTTCGCTGCTGTCTTCTGTGACCAAGTGTCCAGTCTCCATTCGACCTCTTATTAGTGTGATTATCTTCTTGAATCATGAGCTGCCCGAAGCCGGCAGTTGCCTGCCAGCCCATCACAGTGCCATCGCCATGAGTTATTAGAAAGGCTTACGAGGCCAGGATAAACAGCATGAATCAAGAGGGAGAGACAGGCCTCCCTCCTCCTGCTTACATTGCTGTCACTCAGGAGAATGCCAGAAGGGGTGGGAGGCAGGGAGGAAAGAATAGAGAGAAGGATGGAATGATGAACAAAAGAGGACTGGAGAGAAGGAGGAAGCAAAGACGGAGGACAGGGGAAGAGCTTTCCTGTTAGAGGTGGAGAGAGTTGATAGCAGCTCCTTTTCCACTACCGTTGGGGCTACCGCTGAGCATAACCAGGAATTCAACCCTCTTTCCATTGATGACCTCTTACCATTGTGTGTCTTTGGGTAAGTCCTCTGCCTTTCTGGATAGCCAGTTTCTCTCTCTTCCTGTTGGCAGATCTGTCAACTGCCCTATGCCGAGACACATGGGCTGCAGAAATGCTCTCAGCCCTTTGAAAGAAGTCCTTTGGAAAGCAATGAACTTGGTGCCACTCTTCTTCCTTAAAAAGCTTTCCAATTACTGACTTGTCACCTCATGCGCAGGCAGGTTACTGCATTCGTGTGCTGAGAATGTCTTGAACATGCTGGAATAAATAAATTAGCATGGGCACTTAGGGATGCCGGTTTTAATCATAGCTGAGGACTTTGGGGACAAATGCCTTTGCTTCTTCGGTTATCTGTTTTTGGTTTGCAGCCAAAGGCCCCCTACCACAAGTTAATAAATTCAGTTCGAAAGACCAAACTCTTCTTCCTTCTTATCAGCAGAATCAGAGCCTCTATTTCTGCTCTAAGTATTTATGACAGCCATAGAAATTCTTGAGAATTTAAGGAAAGGAGAAGTATTTAAATTACATGAAATTGGAAACGAGGAGGTTCAAGATTTGTCTTGCATTTTTATTAAGCATTTGCGTTGGGGTTTCGGCATTTGATCGATCTCTTCCCAGATATCTTTAGAGTAGTCTCCCATGGACTCCACTCCACTGATTTATTTTGAATGTTGTAAAATGGCAAGAAGCTTATGGGAGCTGCGATACTTGAATTGAGGCAGTACCTGACTGTGGTTTGGTGACTGACCATGAGAAGGAAGTAGAGAGATGATGAGACCAAACCCTTTGGTTGTTTTTGTTTTTGTTTTTGTTTTTATCCAGATGGTATATAAAGAATCGTTAAAGTGATTTCTTAGGATCACAGTTATCCATCCTTCACTTTAATGAGCACTGATAACCTCATGCTGCATTGGGTCTTGATAGGAACCTAATGACTTATGACTTTGGCCATCATGAGCAACCAGCTGGAGGATACCTTGAGCGGCCCGGATTCTCAAAAGCCGCATATTTATTTTTCCGGTGTTGTATATGAAAACCCGAGGCCCGAGTGCAGGCCTGACATCGTCTCCCTTGTTGGAAGAAGTGCCATTTGTCAAGGATCTTTTTTTTTCCATCTTCAGTATGTATGTCTGTTTTGAGAAGTGACAGGACAACTGCCTCAAAATAGACCTAAAACCTTGATTCTTGGAAATGTTCAGGCTACTCATTCCTTAGTTCCTCTCAACAAATATTTGAGGGGCTACTGTGTGTCAGGCACAATCCTCAGCTCTGGGATTACAGTTGGAAAGAGTGAGTGGTAAAGCTTGGTCTGGAGTTCACATGCTATAATAGTGGTCTTTTCCGGCCGATTACAGTTCTGGTATTTTCTAGTGAACTAAAGAACAAATATCCATGGGTCATCTCATCCACAGGGCCTTTTTTTAATGTGCTTTTTAAAGGCTCCGTGGCACCTCTTTTGGGAGTAAGGGAAGCAGGTTGAAAAGGCTTCCTACAATGTTTATCCTAGTGTTCTTAAGAGTTGGATCTCTGAAGACTGACGTCTTCCAAGGTGAGGCATAAGGCTGAGTGTCTGTTACTCCGGGCAAATTCAAAAGGTGTAGATTAGACTGAATGTGTACTGACTAGACTGTCTCATGGTGATTGGATTTTTAAACAATTTCTTACCACTAGCTTGGGTCTTATTTCTCCCTTCTCTCTCAAGGTAGAAACACTAGAGAAAAAAATAAGCCCAGTTGAGGTAATGGTGTGGAATACTTAGACTCTGGTGTTGTAGAATAGAGGCTTGGGACACTTTGATTCTATTATCCTTTTCAGTTGGTTTTTAATATCTTTTCATGGAAGTTTTTGGCATCAAATTCATTAAAATCTGATGTAAGGGGGTTTTTGGTTTTTTGTTTTAAATTCAGTTTTGTAAGCACTGCTTGAGCCTTGAGGACACAAATGTGAAAATCCAAATCTGCATGTCTGCCATGCTATAAACAGCACAGCTGGGCAGACCAGAGACCAGAAGGTGCTTTCTCCATCCCGGGCTGGGGCTGGAGCTGGAAGGACAGCGGACTGGGAAAGAAGCTTAGAAAGGCTTCACAGAGGAGGCAGATCCTTAGTTCTTGACTGTGGACTCCTAGCTGAGTTTCTGGGCTTAACTCTGATGGAGACATCAGAAAGGAGATTAACATTGTATGTAATTTACATTGATGATACACATTACTGGGTTAATGAGAGCTGCCATTTATAGAACGCTCACTGTGTGCTAGGCACAGTGCGAAGCATTTTATTGCCATCCTGTAATCTATTTCCCACAATGCGTCCCCTAAAGTAGGTAGTATTAGCTCCATCTTATAGATGAGGAAACTGTGGCCGAGAGAGGTTGAGTGATATGACTAAGATCACACAGCTAAGAAGCTGTAGAGCTGAGAATCTGCAGTATCTTTGCCTGAAGCCAGTGCCCTAATCTCTACATGTATTGTGTTTCTGTGCTGCTGCTGTGGCAAACTCACCTCTTCCACCCCCCTGTAGATAACTTGGGCTGTGTCTTGCTGGGATTCCTCCATACTTCAGCATCAGAACCTGGGCCTTTCTTCCGTATCACTGGTATTGATTTCCAGTTAATTCAACACAACGTCTTTCTCTTACTTCTCTAAGGAGCTAGGTGCTATTATGACTCCAAGAGTGTGTTTCGGATCTAATTTGGACTTACCATATGGTCTTGGAAGAGCCACTTTTAAGTCTCACGCTCCCATTTTCTATTCGTGTTACCACATTGGGAATAGGATTATTAGTAATCCTATCAGTATTAAGCAATATTAACATTTCTGGCTAAAGATGAGGTGAGATGGTTAACAGATGCATGAAATGATGCTCAACTCTTTGGAAAAATGCAAATCAAAACCACAGTGAGATCATCTCACACCTGTCAGAGTGGCTAATATCAAAAACACCAGAAATAAGTGATGGCGAGGATGTAGAGAAAGAGGAATGCTCGTGACTGTTGGTGGGAATGCAGACTGGTGCAGCCACTGTGGAAAACAATATGGAGGTGCCCCAAATAATTAGAAGTCGAATTACCATATGATCTAGTAATTCCATTACTGGATATTTACACAAAGAATACAAAAACACGAATTCAAAGGGATACGCACATCGCTGTTCATGGCGGCATTATTTACAATAGCTAAGATATGGAAACAGCCCAAGTCTTTATTTATACATGAATGGATAAAGGTGTGTGTGTGTGTGTGTGTAATATTACTCAGCCACAAAAAAGAACGAAGTCTTGCCATTTGCAATGACATGAATGGAGCTAGAGAGTATAATGCTAAGTGAAATGAGTCAGAAAGACAAACATCATGTGGTTTCACTTGTGGAGTTTAAGAAACAAAACAAAGGGGAAAACAAGAGACAGACCAAAAACCGGACTCTTCACTACAGAGAACAAACTGAGGGTCACCGGGCGAGGGACGTGGTCGGAAATAGGTGATGGGGACTAAGGAGGGCACTGGTGATGACCACTGGGTGTTGAGCACAAGTGTTGAATCAATATATTATACACCTGACACTAATATAACACTGTACATTAACTACACGGGAACTAAAATTAAAAAAAAAAAAATTAAGAAAAGATGAGGTGAGATGCTATCATCCATGCCTTTTGTCCTGAGTGGGGCTAAAGCTGGATCAATCCACTCTGAGCCACCCCACCTTCTGTGGGGAGATCACAGTCGCCTTTCGAAGAGCCCAAAGTGTAATCACAGTCCGGTCTATTTCTCAGTCCCCACACGTTTCTGTGATGCCCCATCGCTCCAAGACTGTCATCAGTGCAGTTGTCTCTGCTTTGGATGCTGACGACCTTGCCCCAGCTGTCCCCGGAGGACGGCAGCTCGATGAGTAAGTCCCGAAGCTTTCGAGCTGTGTCTCAGCATTTCTCATGGCCGCGCTGATTGGTCAGGCCCCAGGATGGGCCTTAGGACGTGGTTGGCCTCAAGGGTCCTGAACATCACTACTCAAAGTATCTGGGGTGATTGTTTATTTTTCTGACTTGTGTTTCCTATTTCAGCAAATGAGAAGATTGAAGACATCAATGGCTGTCCGAAGAACAGATCGCAAATGGTGAGTGATACACGGCTGGCGAGTATTTGTGTGAGAGGAGGAAGCCCTGCCTCTCAATGGTATTGACCGTCTTGAGAACATTCCCACCAGAAGCTTTCCCGTAGGGGATTATATTAATAAACTAACAGCTATTTCCTAGTAGCTGCGGTCGGCTTCTCTGAAATTTGTTGGCATTTACTAAAAAGTGGCCATGATTTTTACGTAGATGGTGAGACAGAGAACATGAACTACTGCCCTTTCTTTCAGAAACAAATTATGCAGACCTGGTGGAAATACACACTTGTTGAGAATTTGGACCATTGTGACTCATTCTGCTTTCTCAGAGACACACAACAATCTATGGGGTACTGAGGCACAGATGGGGTCATGGTATCTTGCTCAGAAATCAGGGCATGTGGTCTGATTGCCTTTAAAGGTTAGAATGATGTGAAAGCACAGTGGTGACAGCAGATGTGAAATGTATAATCCTATCCAAACCATTCTTAACCTTGACAAGTTATATGTTCTCTGGTATCATATGCTTAAGCTCTGATATTAAACCTTTTTTTTTAAATGGATCTTTAAACATCTGTTCTTGTTATATGTCCTGTAAATAAACTTTGAATTAAAATTCATGATCACTACTGAGTTCAGAAAACATGAAATTGCAATGCTCTGAGAACCTGATTTTTTCCCTTCAAAAGGCTTTTCAAACAGTCTTTACACCAAGTACCTATATATCAGACTGTTAAGATGATGCTACTCCTACCTGCTTAAAATACGAAGGTGGCAATTTAAGGACAACTTTCTATTTTTGCAGGACATTAATCTGCTTCCAGAAACCTAAGAAAAAGGCATAATCCGTTTTTTCTGACCTCCCCCACTCCCTTTGAGTCGACACAATTGGATACTGTCATTCCGGAATATAACAAAGTGATTGGCATTCCTTGGGTTTCCCTTTCAATTTTCCCAAGTATTTGTTATCCTCGTGAGTTGGACAGATCACCTTTTCGGTGCACTTTCCTTTGCATGCATAAAAACACATTTTTTATCCCAAAGAGGAGGGTGGGTGGCGGGGAGTCCTCCTTCAGTTTACATTGTGAAACAAGTTTCTCTTTTTTTTTTTTTTTTTGGTCATTTCACAGGGATTTTGTTTCTTTTTGTTTGATCCAGAGAGCAACCCCTCCTTATGTAGGAAAGTCCCATACAGACATCTCATGGCTGCTTTGACTTCTGGAAAAGCTGGGCTGCTATTTTTGCTAGAGCTACCGCAGCTGTCTAGTGTATTAATAATTGAGAAAATCTGGAAGATAGAAGACTTAATTTAGTGCAAGCATTTTACACATGCAGTCATATCTTCACATGAAAGAGATACAGTCATTCCCCCAGGGTAGATACAGATGCATTTGTCCCAGCCCGTTATAATGCGTACGTAGACCTGGCATTTGAAGGTAATGAACCTTTTTTTCTCTATGACACTTTTGTATTTTCCGCACTTCCTGTTGGAGGTGTGAAAGCCCACTTTCCAAGATTATAAAATAATACCGCCATCTCAGATTCTTTGGTGCAGATTTAGTTCTAGATGCCAAGTGTTATTTATAAATGCTACCATGATACCAATGTAATTTTGTGGTTTCTCTAACTCTTTCAACTGTGAAAGTATTGTTTTCCTCTTTTTTTTTAATGGCCTGTGGGTTTGTGTGGGGTGTTTTGTTTTGTTTTGTTTTTTGTTTTTTGTTTTTTTTAGAGCACAGGAATATAAAATCCTATAATTGTCTGTGATAATTAGTTCCAGCTAGGGGTGGGGAGGCAGACACGGTCTGGTAAACACAGCAGAGAATAGTTCAATGTCCAGGATGTGAGGCCAGGAAAATGGGAAAATCTCCACCACAGTCATTCCATTCTGCAGCAAAGGAGAAAGATGGTAAAGACAACAGGGCTATTGTTATTAGCCCCACGATGCAAACTGTGACGGGTCCATAAGACGGAACCTCACCTGGGGCGCCTGGGTGGCTCAGTGGGTTAAGCCTCTGCCCCTGGCTCAGGTCATGATCTTAGGGTCCTGGGATGGAGCCCCGCATCAGGCTGTCTGCTCAGCGGGGAGCCTGCTTCCCCCTCTCTGCTTGCCTGTCTGCCTGCTTGTGATCTCTCTCTGTCAAATAAATCAATAAAATCTTTGAAAAAAAAAAAGAAAAGAAAAAGACGGAACCTCACCTGACCCACCAGGCTGCCCAGTGGCTCAGGTCTCAAATTCCTGCACTCCAGGCTCTACTTCAAATGTTCTTTTCCAGGAGGCTGGGGAAGTGAGAGCAGATAGCTCTGGCATCTCTCTATCCCAGGGGCACCAATGTACAGACGCAATGAGTATGGTGTTGTCCCTTTGACCTGCAGATCGGCAAAATTTTGCAGAGTGCTGACCATTGCCAGCCACTGGGGTGGGCCACGTGAATGCTCAGGTGAATGAGATGAGGTCCCTGCCCTCCAGGAGCTCCGTGATGAGGGGACAGGAGAGCAGAGAATAACAGTGCTGCTGTTTGCACAGACCTCTGTGTACATGACACAGTGGGGGCCCATTGCATCCGAGAACGAGGGAGGGTCAAGAGTAACTTCTAGGGAGTGAGTCTGAAAGGCAAGAGGGTTCACCCCAAGGGAATGACGGGTGGACGAGGATTCACATTCCTGGAGCAGATCTTTCCTAAAGCTTGTCAGGGACCCTGCAAAGGAAGGTTTTGCAGCATTTGCTTATGATCCTACCCAAGGGCCCTAAGCCGTATCTAGGGAGACTCCTCTCCTCCAGTGAGAAGTGAGGCACGGAAGAGTGCAGCAGACCCCATAGCTATGGCAGTCTTCAGGTCTGGAGCAAGCCTTCTGCATTCATCATCACTCCCCAAATCGCCACATTTGGGGTAGCAACCTCCCACTGGGTCCTGGAGGGAAGTATGTTTGAAGGAAAATACCCACGGTCATCCAGCCCTGGAGAGTGACGATCAGTCCTGGGGTCTGGGAACTGAAAATGCTAGCTGGTGGGAAATGGTAGTTCCTGAGTTTGTTTGCTCTGACCTATAGCTGCACAGTGCCAGAAGGTTTGTGCACCCATTCATGCTTGTGGGCACACCCCACTCTCTGGACGCTGCTGTGGGCCTGCATTATGCTCCCCCAATTCTGGTGAAGAGACTGCAGTGCCACGTGGTGGAAAGCTGTCCCCAGAGCGAGACAAAACCAGAACCATCAGCATATACTGTAACCTGCTGGTGGCCCTCCTAGGCTATGACCTTGATGGTGGGCACAAGGCAGGGAGGCATGGCAGGGACTTGCCTTTCCCTAGCAGGCTGGCCTCAGCTTGTGTTGAGGGAGTCCTTTGGGCAGTTTTGGGCTGACCTAGCCCCTCGGGGGGCCGTGTCTTTGGAGACGGAGCTGTAGAAACGCTCCTGCCCGCCTCTCACTCACCAGGCGGTCCCTTTGGCCCTTAAATAAGTTTTGTGTGTGTGCGTCAGAGCTGGTTAAAATGTTTTTTCTGTTTAGCATTGCCATGGCAACCCAGGGGCATCTTTTTGGCTTTCAAGTGCTATGTTCAGCAGAGTTACGAGTTAGTTTGGGAGGAGAAACTGCCTGGAGCCTGGCCCAAGGGCACTGCCTCTCCTGGAACCCCTGGGCTCCAAGACAGAGCCTCACTTTGGGGCCTAGGAATGCCTGCTTCAGGGGGTGGTTTTCTTTTTTAATCATTATTATCTTACAGGGCTTGGCTTTCTGTTGTGGATGAAGAGAGGTGCAAAGTTAGCAAGGCCTGCTGGCCCTTTCAATGGAAAGCCCCAGGCCTGTTTATCCCTTTGGTTGCTGATCTCCGGCCCAGGGTCATCTGGGGCCTCCTAGTGCAGCCACCTCCTGAGCTCTCCAAGTGCTCTGTCTTCTTCTCTTGGTGCTTCTACTATCTATCTATCTATCTATTGACTTATTTATTTATTTCAAAGATGTTATTTATTTATTTTTAGAGAGAGACTGCACAAGCAAGGGGGAGGAGCAGAAGGGGAGAGGGGAAAGGCAAAAGAATCCCAAGCCGACTCTGTGCTGAATAGGGAGTCCGATGTGGGGCTCAATCTCATGACCCTGAGATCGTGACCTAAGCTGAAACTAAGAGTCCTGTGCTTAACCGACTGAGCCACTCAGACACCCCCCTTCCCATAGACTCTTCCCATAGAGTGTCTAGATGGAGGGCCAACTGGGCTTGAGAACCATGCTGGCCAAGTTCAGGTTCCTCCTCTGCTGTCCTGTGGCCTTGAGCTCGTTATTTAACCTTTTGAAGGCTCTATTTCCTGTTTCTGAAAATGGGGTTGATAATACAGCTCATAAAGTTTTTGTAGTACTAATGAGGCAACGCAAGGGATAACCATGGGTAGTACTGCTAAAGATGATAAAATACAGCAAGAGCCTGTCGGGGTCCGCCAGGTGCCAGGTGCCCGGCTCAGTGCTGACCAGCTTTCCTCTCCCTCCATTGTCCCAACAGCCCTTTCAGGCAGGTGAGCTCGTTACCCCCATGCTCCTAGCATAGGAACAGCCCTTGATACATGGCAGTTTCTAGGACAATGGTGATTTGTGATCGTAGTTCATGTGTTGGGGACATGGAACCCTCTGGAAATCTGAGGAAAGCTAAGGCCCTCTCCTCCCCAGATCACACAGCCCCCAGAATTTTGCATATACCTGAGCAGACTGTAGATCCCAGAGGCCAGCCCATGTGTCCCCCCAGGGCTCCACAGACCCAGAGTTCAGTGCCCTTGCTGCTTAGGGCACAGCTCTGTCCCCCACCCTGTCCTTTCAGCAGTCCCCATGGACATGGTGGCACCTGATTCCCAAAACAATAGAAATTTGTATGTAGACACAGAGAAGTACCAGGCAGTGGTTTTCAAACTCACATTCCATGAGCAGAATCCACCCTCCCTCCCAAAAAACAGCACATGGGGACTGAGCCTTTACAAGGTCTCGATCGTTCGCCCTTCCTTCCTTCCTTCCTTCCTTCCTTCCTTCCT